TAAGCAGTGCTGTGATCTTAGTCACGTCTGCTCTCCAGACCTTGATTTTGAAACCTAATATAAAAGAGTTTTAACAGATTATCTTTATGGCAGCATTTCCAGAGTAATCTCATGAGACAGCAGTGTACCTGTATGAGTGCATGGCAAAGAATGGGAATTAGAAAGTAGAGGGGAGGGAATTCCCTGGCAGTCCAGTGGTTAGGACTTTCACTGCTCTGGCCCAGGTTCAGTCCCTGGTAGGGGAACTAAAATCCCCCAAGCCACTCGGCATGCCAAAAAAAAAAAAGAAAGAAAGAAAAAAGAAAGTAGAGGGGGAAAAAAATGAAGGGAACTTTCTGTTAAGAAAGAGGCAGCAGGGAATGGATAAAGAAGATGTGGCACATATATACAATGGAATATTACTCAGCCATAAAAAGAAACGAAATTGAGCTATTTGTAATGAGGTGGATAGACGTAGAGTCTGTCATACAGAGTGAAGTAAGTCAGAAAGACAAAGACAAATACCGTATGCTAACACATATATATGAAATTTAAGAAAAAAAAATGTCATGAAGAACCTAGGGGTAAGACAGGAATAAAGACGCAGACCTACTGGAGAACAGACTTGAGGATATGGGGAGGGGGAAGGGTGAGCTGTGACAGGGCGAGAGAGAGTAATGGACATATACACACTAACAAACGTAAGGTAGATAGCTAGTGGGAAGCAGCCGCATGGCACAGGGATATTGGCTCGGTGCTTTGTGACAGCCTGGAGGGGTGGGATAGGGAGGGTGGGAGGGAGGGAGACACAAGAGGGAAGACATACGGGAACATATGTATATGTATAACTGATTCACTTTGTTATAAAGCAGAAACTAACACACCATTGTAAAGCGATTATACCCCAATAAAGATGTTAAAAAAAAAAAAAAGAAAGAGGAGCAGGGACCTCCCTGGTGGCGCACTGGTTAAGAATCCACCTGCCAATGCAGGGCACACGGGTTCGAGCCCTGGTCTGGGAGGATCCCACATGCCGCAGAGCAACTAAGCCCATGCACCACAACTACTGAAGTAGGCTCTGAGCCTGCGCTCTAGAGCCCATGAGTCACAAATACTGAGCCTGCGCACTACAACTACTGAAGCCCACATGCCACAACTACTGAAGACTGCGCACCTAGAGCTCATGCTCCGCAACAAGAGAAGCCACCGCAATGAGAAGCCTGTACACCGCAACGAAGAGTAGCCCCTGCTCGCCGCAACTAGAGAAAGCCCATGGGCAGCAACGAAGACCCAACACAGCCAAAAAATAAATTAATTAATTTTAAAAATACTTAACTTAAAAAAAAAAAGGCAGCAGAGAGAGGGTATTTGAAATAAGCCAGGTTAAAAGGCTGTGTTCCCTGATCCCACTCTCCCCACTAACCAAACTTCCTTCACAAATCTGACAGATACATTTTGGAGCTATGGTTTCTCTAAATTTAATGTGTATAAAAACCTCTGAGAGCTTGTTAAAATGCAGATCTCTAAGCTTCAATTGCAGCCCACTGAATCAATATTCTAGAGTGTGGACACAAGAATATGCATTTTAACAAACTCCTCAGGTGACCTTGATGCAGAAGGTCCTTTAACTGTATCTAACAAGCACTGTCACAGAAGCTGACTGTCCCCTCTTGGGCCCTTCCTCAGAACTTCAGAATCTGTGGATGTAGATCAGAGTGTATTACTTGTCTAAAACGCTCAGAAGATGGGACTTCCCTGGTGGTCCAGTGGATAAGACTCCACACTCCCAATGCAGGGGGCCCGGGTTCCATCCCTGGTCAGGGAACTAGATCCCGCATGCCGCAACTAAGAAGTCCATGTGCCGCAACTAAAACCCCGAGTGCTGCAACTAAGAAGATCCCACAGGCTGTGACGAAGACCCTGCGTGGTGCAACTAAGACCTGGCGCAGCCCAAATAAATTAAATAAATAAATTAAAAAAAAAAAAAACAACCTCTCAAGATACTGTGCTAAGGTTTATAGCCTTTCCTTCTGTGGCAGTTTCCACTGCTTTAGTAACAGAAGGAAAGAAACAAGATATTTCTCCTTTCAGCATGCATTATTTAGCCCACTTCAACTATTTCTGCAGAATAAAGGCAACAGACCAGGGAGTGAGGGTCGGGGACTGGGAAGTGAACAGAAGAGTGGAACTAAATTTGGAACCTCTGAGATAGCATCCATTTTGAGTCTGGATTTTTATATCAGGTGTTAACTGGACACATGTGGCATAAACCTTCGAGCCCCACTCCTGCCTGTCTAGCCAAGTTCCTAGAAATGCAAGATAATCTGGTGGTTGCTGCTTACCAGATTACAGGGCCTGATCTGCAGTTATGCCAGCTTTGAATAACTGTAGGATGCAATTTATTCAATTTCTTATGCTGTCAGTGCACAAAAGCACCCGGAACCTGCCACTCTGCTTTTGGTTCTTAAGGGCTATTTGTTGGGAGGGAACCCTGCCTCGATGTTAGTCCAAGTAATACTTAAGTTTGGATAATATGGAGCTTCCAAACTCTGTTTGTAGGTCTTTTCTTCCCTCTCTTAATTGCCTAGGGCCCCAGTATTCCTAAACTTTTCCCTAAGTGCCCAGTGCATCTACCTGTGGGGCCCCAGAGACTTGCCTTCTAAGGACAATACTCCAGGCTCTAAATCAATAACAATTCCTCACAGTTATGTAATACTTTGCAGCTTGCAGAGAACTTTCATACATGTTCCCTAATTTTGAGCTTCATATCAACACTAAATTAGAACAGGTATCAGACTCTATTTTCAGATTGGCAAACTAAGGCAAACCAGGGATATTAAATCATTTAAACATGGCTGGGAAGTGCAGAACCTGGCCTGACACTTATCTTCTGACTCTAAGTCCGTCCAGGACAGACCTCTTTTGACCAAACCTTAGAACATTTTGTCCTGTCCCAATTCCTTTACAAAAACATATCTATCATGTGTTCATCCTTTTTCAACAAGCCATTATCTTAGATGATGATAACTATTCCTTGAGAATTTATAATAACTGATAATGATAACATGGTATTCTTTCTGTGATGACAGCATTGTAACCAAAGATTCTGTATGTCACAGGCTAAATGGCATATATCTGGGGACATCCCAAATCATTCCATATAGGTAGTCATCTTAGGGTGAAACCAGTCCTCATTCTGTTTTTCAAGTGTTTAGGCTCAAAATGCCCCCTGACTTAGGAGCAAGATACTGACACACTGATATGTTAAGAATAAGATGTTCTATTAGGCAATACACAAGGCAGGAGAACACTAATATTGTGTTCATCTCGCAGTTCATTTTCAGCCAGTGAGAGTAGACACTGTTTAAAGAAAAACAGCACCTTGTGACCACCCTCTAGCCTTGCCCTAATTTTTTTAGGCTGACTTTTAAAATACTCAATGCCCGGTGGCCATGTTGCCTTCGTGACTGTGAAGAGATGGAACGACTAAATTTAACCTTATGTGCAAAAATTCCTGGAGGGACATCACATTAATCATGTGTGACTTAATGTGAGTTAGGTCATTAATTCTGGCCTAGTGACATCTAGGTAAAAGCTGACCCTTAACAAAAAGACACACCAAGAGGACAGATTTAATACACAGAAGACAATGGAATAAATCAAGCCCTAAAAAGAGAAGGTACTGTGCTGGGTGTTGTGAAAGAGAGAGAGAAGAGTCAGATCCAGGCTAAGGGGTACCCTGTGCACAGGGCAGGAAAGGCAGGAGTTGGCACTAAGCACAACAGAATAATGGTCTCACCTTCATGCTTGGGGCAGAGGTTGGGGGGCAGTGTCACCTGCCCCTGGGAATGGCAAGGCCAACAAAATGAGTGGTATGGAGCCAAAGCCAGTGTGGCACAGAAGTTAAGTGCTCTGGGGTGGAATCTGGCAGCTGACTTTGAAGCCTGACTCTGCTACTTATGGCCTATGTGATCTGAAGTAATTTACCTACCTCTCTGAGCCTCAGCTTCTTCCCACAGGCAATAAAGACCATAATATCACCCCAGTGTAAAGCCCTTAGCAAAGTACCCATAATTGTCAATTATTATTATTAGGCCAAGGAAGTGCTTCAGAAGGAAAAATTTTTAAAAAGCACTAACTCTGGGCAATTGTTTTCTACAGTGTTTTCCATGCTAGCTAAAACCTGGAAACAACTTGCCTGATAATTAAGAGCTAAGGTGATTTACCTATTTGATAAAATATTCTGTAGCTGTAAAACATTTTAACAATGAAGACTGTGTAACAATATGGAAAAGTACTGGGTGACTCTGAAGGACAACAGACTGGAGACGTGGTCCTTACGGTGCAGTTAAGGAGCCAAATATTTAACGATGTGAGGTGTCACAGGGTTAAAAGTTAAAATAACTGGAATGGACTAGGAGTGATTTGTAAATCTGTGTATGACAGGGAGGCCTGGATAGGTCAAGAAAGAGTTACGGAGTAGGCAAGAATTGAGCTGGGCCTGGAAGAATGGACAGAATTTGTGTCAAGTATGGAAGAAAGGCTTCACATGGCACAGAAGGAAGAGCTACTTGTGGAGGGAAGAACACTCGGAGAAGAGCTAGGAGAGTCGAGAGGAGAGGTTACATGTCAGGACAAGGTCATAAACTGGGGTCATACTCAGGGAGAACCCTGAATGCCAGCCAGGCTGAGTTGTCTGAACTTTACGCTGTAAGTTCTTTGAACAGGGAGGAAGCAACTTTTGGGGAAAAACTGGAAACCTGGGATACTGCTGAAAAGCAGTAATCCCTCATAAGGAGATGAGGGTCTGAGCTTTGGGACAAATGTGAGAACTGGAAGCAAAGGTCTGAACAAGGACCATTTCAAATGTTGCAGCATTTCTTTCTTTTGTCTTTCTAATTCCCATGGCTTCCCCCCTCCCCTACCTGTTCTCCAAGTTCTTTTCTTACTGACTGCTATGGGCTACCAATTTCTACTGACCTAGAGCTCTCACCAGTTCTTCCCATCCCCTTAACAGGTGCCTGGTCATGCCTCCTGGTCCTCCTCTGGACCAGGCAGTGTGGAAGGAAGCATTTGCTGGGAAACAATGACTAAGACCGAGAAGGGAAAGACCTTTCTCTCCCAGCATTTCCGTCAGTCACTCCCCCCACGGCTGGGATGGGGCATGATTTTCTCCTACTTAAAACCAAGAAACAAGGAGGAGTGCGCCTCCGTTTCCAGTGTGCCTCCAGTCTTCCACTCCAACCCGCAGCACTGTGCAAACCTCAAGAACCAATATTTGAAACAGGCAGCTGCAAACCTCACCTTTTCTCGGGAGGTGGTGCAGCAGCGAGGGCTGGCCAGCATTCCTTACAGCCAAAACAGCTTTGACCATCTCTACGATGCAGACGGCATCATCCAGCCTCCCCAAGTCAGGAAGCCCCGAGCTGAGAAGCCCGTCAGCTTCAAGTTCCTGGATTTTTCAGGTCCCTCAACAAGGGTCACCTCCCAGGCTATGAAGACGGAAAGCTCTGCCAATCTTAAGAAGCTGAAGAAATCAAAGCCAGCAAGCGCAGTCCAGGAAGCATCTGGTCCTCTCAGTCTTCATCCAAGCAGGGAGCTAGACGTGCTGGATCTGTCACTTTCTCCAGATGTCTACCTGGAGGAGAGGGAAACCTGGCTTCCCCCTTCTGAGAAGGAGGCCAGAGCATGGCAGGCTGTCGTGCTGGAAAAGCTTAACAAGCGCACTGCCCGATGGATCCAGAACAAGAGTCCTCTGAGGCCTGGGGTGTCCCCCAGTAAGTGGCAGAGCTTCTTGCACCAGCAATACGACTGGAGCCACATCCGGGATGAGCTCACTTCCTCCAGCGACCTGGAGCTCTTGAAACAGCTGGAGGAAGAAGAGACAGCAGAATTTGAGGATCGAAGTGTCGTTCTGCCCACCCAGGAGGAAAAGAAGCCAGAGCTGCTGCTTCCTGTCTATTATAGGTAGACTGGCTGGGGCCTCGGGCGCGCCTTTGAGAATCCCTGGCTCCCCTTCAAGGACTCCTGGGTGGCCTCACACTCCTTATTTCAGAACACACTGTCACATTAACCTCTTGTGTTTTCCACCACCAACCTGCTAAGATTTCCACAAAGTAAGGTTTCGCAACCTCAGCACTCCTGAGGTTGGATAATTCTTTGTTGTGGGGCTGGTCCTGTGCACTGTAGGATGTTTAGCAGCAGCCTATTGCATGCCAGTAGCACTCTCCAGGTGTGACAACCAAAGATGTCTCCAGACACTGACGCATGTCCCTTTGAGGGACAAAGCTGCTCCCAGCTGAGAACCACTGCCTTTAAAGGAATGGGTTCTCAGCCTTTCCCAGCAGACTGAGCCATTCTGCTGTTCCAGGTACTATCCAGGTGCTCCTAGAAACGAATCCATGGTGGGAGTGAGGAAGGCAGAGACTTCATGAGGTTTGGTCCTGCCTCAGTCTGAATAAGGAGCCAGTGTGTCAACTGACTCGAAAACTGACTGGCGCAGGATGGAGAACTAAACAAGCTTAGAGAAGAGGATAACTGCACGTTTCTCACATTGCTTCCTTTTCATTTATAACTCTAAGGAAGACTGGAGCTATAACATCCCTGATTCCTAAAAGTGAACTAAAGATAAGTGGAAACATTTATTTATTCATCTATTGGACAAATATAAATTGCATTGCCACCACTTTCCAGGCACTCTGCAAAGTGCTGGGAATACAATGTAAATGAAACCGACACGGACCTATCCTTTAAAGAGCTTACAGTCTGTCCACTAAACAACCACACACATAATAGGTAAAGTGAGGTAATGTAGGAGGTGGGTTCCCTTCCCCAAGTCCATGCACCCTCTAAGGGCACCAGTTTTAAAGCTACCCGTCCCCCCTTTTCTCCCCATGTCACTCATTCCAAGATTGCCCAATTACTTGCCGCAAGTGCAGACAGTTGAAATCACACCTGGCATCAGTAAGACTGCTGAGGACATCGATGGAAAGGGGAGCATCTACCAGCCCCCAAGGCAGAGCCACTTCCGACAGGTGAATCCCCGAGCTGGAAAGTTTGCTTACTCCACAGACAACACCTTTGAACAGGAGATTTACTTTGGTAATGGAGCTTGGGCCCTGTAGTGGGGGCCTAGGGGGACATGGAGCAGGGAGGTGGAAGGTAGCTGGGGGATAACACAGTCATGGGTGTGGATGAGAGGCCCTGGATGAACCAAGTGTTCATGTTGACACTTCCTGGTTACTAGCACATGAGGTTTTTTTTGGGTTTGTGGGGTGGAGGCCGGGGACAGGGGGTAGGTATCTGATAGGAAGGAAACTCTTCTTCCTCTTTCCCCTCTCTCTATCCCTTTATGTTTACTAAAGAGGTAGTGGAGGTAGGATTGCAAAGTAAGCAAGATTCAGCTTTGGGAACAACCTACCTCTTCTCTGTTCTCCCTTCTCTCACTGAGATAATTCCCCCAATGAGGTGCTATGTTGGAAAAAACAACCACAGGCTCTGGAGATCTGAGCTTAAATCCTGGCTTAGCCCCTTCCTACTAACCTTCAGCAAATTATATAAGCTGTCCAAGCCTTACATACCTTATTTGTAAAACAATATTAACAAAAATGCACTTTAAGTAGACAAGAAATATAGTGCTTCTTGCCCAATACCCATGAATGTCCACTACCTTCCCCTTCCATCCTGCTACCCTTTAGATGCCTGGGCTTCCAGGATACACAATCTAGGATTGCACGTTCCAAGCTGTTTATTCTTCCCTACCCTCATCTTGTTCCGAAACTGCTTTCAACTGAAAGTCTTCTTAAAATGTTTAACAAAATTATTCAGACAAAGGTATTTATGACTGATAAGAGATGAATTAGGTAACCCTTCATTAGTATCTAGCTTTTCATAGCGGACAATGCCTGTAAGTTAGGTTCTGACTTGGCTTCCAGGCTTTTATGAGGCCACCAGGTCATACTTCCAAGCAACAGTCACCTTCAAGGGATGCCCCCAGAGCATGGTAGTCATGAGTCCTAGAGGCTTAGAGTAGGGCAAAAGGAAACTCGGTTGATCCTGGTGACCAAAAACCCAGGAAGAGAGGAAGGAGGCGGGTTCTAGGGACTCATTATTTATCTGTTCACAGATAAAGTCCAGATCATCCACCAGATTGGTGCAAAGAGAGACCAAATTTTCCTGGAAAACCTCAATCGATACAGCAAGCAGCTATCTAAGGTCTTCCCTGAAACCCCAGAAAGGTGGACTTCCCAGCCAGTTCCTGAATCATGTAAGCACGAAGCTGATAATGGGGGTAAAGGTGGATGTAGGGTTAGTTCTTTAAGGTCCCTGTTTCATAGGCTGGGACACCACCAGCATCTAGGTGAGTCCCTTCCTACTAACTAAAAATCATCTCATAAAATTATAAAATACTAATTGTAACAGGAAAAGCCTTTGTGGCCCATACAGCTGAAATGAGATGGAACTTAGTTGTAACCAAGTGGTTTAGGGCCAGTAATTCCTAATAAGACAGATCTCACCTTAATGCTTCCAAATGAAGTACATCAAACCCCTGATCTAGCACTCTGCCCTTTTTCCTTGGGCTGGCTCTACCCTCCCACTCCATTCTCAGGCCCATACCTGCTTCAGGCCCTAGAATCAACCTGTGTTTCAAATTTCTGTTTCATGAGTACATCATCCTTCATTCTGTAAGTTAGGTAAGGTAGAGGGAAAGGAGTTAACCAAGAAATAAACTTATGAAACAAAAAGTGCCCATCCTCGGGCTTCCCTGGTGGCACAGTGGTTGAGAGTCCGCCTGCCGATGCAGAGGACACGGGTTCGTGCCCCGGTCCGGGAAGATCCCACATGCTGCGGAGCGGCTGGGCCCGTGAGCCATGGCCGCTGAGCCTGCGCGTCCGGAGCCTGTGCTCTGCAACGGGAGAGGCCACAACAGTGAGAGGCCCGCGTACCGCAAAAAAAAAAAAAGTGCCCATCCTCCAGAGACTACGTCTCCATTCCCCATGACTCTTTTTTTTTTGCAGTGTCACCGTTCAGATGGGCCCACTGGTGTGCAGAAACTAGCAGCAGTAGTGAACCATTCTTTTTCCTACCAGCCCCAAACCTCTGTCTCTAGTGCTGCCTGGCTCTAGAGGAAATAGCCACTAGAGCAGAGGAGGTGCTAATGATGGCAGATGTGGGCAGCTTCCACCAAACTCACACAGCCTCCTCCTTTGTTGAGGGCTACGATTATAAAGCAGTGAAGAAAGCATGTAGCAAAGCCTTGGGTTGGGTCTTAGCAAGTCACCTCCCAGGGCTTCAGCTGCCTCATTAAAACTGAGACACTAATCATTCCTATAGCAAGGCACTCGTAAACACTTAGCAGCTTATAGCACCATTCCTCCTCCCAAATTAAAAACATTAAAAAGAAAACAATAAATTAGGAATTAATGGCCAATTACATTCTACTTTAAATGGCAATATATCAAGTATTGAATTTTATGAGCAAACGTTGTTACATATAAACATATTTATATTCCTAAAGATTTATTAAACTTATAAAAAGGCTTATATGTATCTCAACTTTTCTTCCCCAAATTTCTCTGCTCCATCATCATGGCTTTATCATGTTTGTAGTCAGGACTTGTCATAACTCCCTATGGGACTTGTACTCAGTTTCCTACATAATCACAAGAAAGTTGGCTCTTGACAGTTTTGTTTTGCCTTAGTGCTAGCCAGGAATAGGAATGTGATGCTGGCTGGGAACACACGCTTAGGGCAGTGGGCAGAATACCTCATACTGCTGCCCCGCACAGCTTGCAGGCCTGTGAAAGGAGCCAGGCGCTGGACAGCTCTGCCCATACCGGCCAAGGATCTGCTGCTGCAGGTGGGTGAGGAGGACATGCCCATGAAGACTAGGAGACTGAAGAAGCAGGCAGAGTCACTGAAGGAGAATGTGACTTGGGAACTGGTGGTCCTGCGGAGGATGCTGCAGGAATGGAAGATGGCCTGGGCTCTAAGTGAGTGAAGGGGGTGGGGCGGGCGGGGGTCCTGACATATCAGCATGTTATTTGTGAAGGAGGAGGTTCTCACCTTGGACTAGTGTTTCTCAATCTTTGAAAATCCATCCCTCTCTTGTGAGACATAAAAATCTGGTTGCCTCATCAAGGTTAGACTAGAAAAGAGCTTTTCACACAATGACAGCTGCATTTATCTAGATACTTTTTGCACGGGCAGGTTTTACATCAGTAATTTGTGGAAACTCACTATGCTGAGAACTCTTCACAGGCCGAGACCCTATCTTACTGACTTCTGAAACTTTACACTCAATAAGTGATGCGTGAAAGAAAGGGTGAAATGTGCTGCCCAAGCAATGGAAATGCAGTGATCAAAAGAAACTTCAGTTGGCCGTGGTATATACAACCCTTTTCCAAAATTCATTTGTAAATTTGGGATTATCATATATTTACTTTGCCTTCAGCGATATGGGAATAGAACGCTGAGTGCCTGGGACAGAGGAAGGGCCCAGCAAGGAGTGTTGAAAGCTGCAAGATTTGAGGACTCAAGGGCTGCTGGCTTTCAGAACATGAAAAACTAGTTTAGTTAGTGCAGGAAAAAGAGAGGTGATTCATCACATAAACTGGTTCAGGTAAACAAAAAAAGAGTTGAAAAAGAGATTCTGAGTAAAAGCTACCAGAGGGGAGCACCTACAGGTGGTGGGAGCACTGAAATAAAAGCTCCAAAGCTATAAAGAGAGCAGTTAGCAATAAAAGGAAGAAGCCCTTGAAAGCCAGATGGAAGAGCCCTAGAAGTCAAGGAAACCTAATGATAACCACAACCATTAACATGTGAGCCCTTATTATCTTGCAGGCATTTTGCTAAACACTTTGTCCAGTTAACTCATTTAACACTCAACGTAACTCAATACAATGGGTTCCAGCATTATTCTCATCTTACAAATGAGAAATGTCAAGCCCAGTGAGGTTAAGTAATTTGTCCAAGGTCACATAGCTAGTAATTGCGATTCCAAACCAGGTATGTCTGATGACTAAGTCTCCTTAACCGCTATGTTTTATTGTACCTAACTATTTACCAGGTGATAACAATAAAGAGTTATTTAAGCCAAAAAAAAAAAAAAAATAAAGAATATAGGATGGGATTAGGAGTTTTGTTTGGGAACTACCTAAGAGGGTACATGGATCATCAGAGAAATAACTTCCCTCAGGACAGGACTCCATCTCTGGAGCCCTTTATTCTTCTGAACTGTTTTGCTTGAATTGTCCTAGGGGAAGGGGACTTCTTGTCACCTGCCTGCAGCACAATATCTAGCCCTAACCAGGTGGTTCTCTTCTAATTTTCCTCCTCATGGTAGTCATCGAGTGGCACCATAAGACAATAGAGGGCCTGCTGCAGAGCTTGGTGGACATCCATGATGACGTCCGCATCCAAGCCATCATCACTTGTGCCACAGCTGCTTTAGAACGGCCCCGTATTGCCATCAGCCAGGGGGACTCAGGTGAGAGCCAGAACTGGACTGCTTGAGAATATAAGCAATTCGCAGAGCCATAGAAATTTTGAACTGGCGGAGACCCTGAAGCTTATCTGAGATCATTTCACAAAATGGAAACCAAGACCCAGAGACTGGCCTGAAAAACCAAGACCCATCTCTTATCAGCAATAGAGATGAATTTAAAATTCCTGACTCCTAGTCTAGTGCTTTTTGCATGAATTTCATCACCCTTTGATGATCAGTAGCTTACAAGTAAGTTCACATTGTTCTACCTTGAGAGATCCCATTCATAATACCCAAAAAGTATGTGTATGTGTGTGTGAATGCACACACTTTTCTCCCGACTCCACTTTAGCGCTTCTTTTGACAGCACATCTCAAACTCAACATGTCCCATACTGAACTCATCACACTCTCCACAGACCCCTCCCCACATTCCACATCGCAATCGGCATCCCCACAATCCATGCAGTTTCTGAGCTAGGACCCTGGGAGTCATCCTGGATAAAATCTTTCCTCTTCCCACAACCGATCGACCAATAAATTCTACAGATTCTGCTTCCTAAACATTTTTTTTATTATGAAAGAAATATAAAGTGTCATTATCAGTCAACACAGAGGAGTATAAAAAGAGGTGGGACTTCCCTGGTGGCTCAGTGGTTAAGAATCTGCCTGCCAATGCAGGAGACACAGGTTAGATCCGTGGTCCAGGAAGATCCCACATGCCACAGAGGAACTAAGCCCCTGCACCAAAAATACTGAGCCTGCGCTCTAGAGTCCACAAGCCACAATTACCGAGCCCACGCAACTACGGAAGCCGGTGTGCCTAGAGCCCCTGCTCCACAACAAGGGAAGCCACCGCAATGAGAAGCCCGCGCACTGCAACAAAGAGTAGCCCCCGCTCACCACAACTAGAGAAAGCCCGCACGCAGCAAAGACCCAGTGCAGACAAAAAAATTTTTAAAGAAAGAGGTGATTACCTTCCCCCAACTCACTTCCCAGTCCCAATCCCACCCCCATGCCATTCCCCAGGGTAACCAATGTTTAGTTTGGCATTCCACCATTTTCCCTATGCTTTTACAAACATATGCCAACATACATGTGAGCTTTTCTATTTATTACAAAAATGAGTGTTGAATTTTACCAGCCATTTTCTAGTTTCTTCTCCTTTAATTTGTGGATATAATGAATTCTGTTGTTAAACTCTTGGAAAAAATCCTAATGGATCTTTCTTTCACTCCACTGGGTTTGATTTGTTAATATTTTAGAATATTTTACTACATTTGTAAGTGAAATCGGTAGTTTTGTGTTTATTTATACTATCTTTATCAAGTTTTAGTTTTTACTAGCCTTTTAAAATGAATTAAGGACTTGGCCATTTTCCCCAATGGTCTGTAATCTTTTGAAAAAGAAATGTCAATAGTTTTTTCTTTGCTAGCAATAAGCAGTTAAAAAGGAAAATTTCCCATCTACAAGAGCCAGAACTGTAATCTACCAAGGAGCTGGCTTAACAAGATACAGGACCCAGATGACAGAAACTATAAAATGCTGCTGAAAGGACATAAAACCAACTGACTTACTAACCCCCAAGTACCCTCTCAGATACCACCTTTTGTGAGAAGCCTGGGCTGATACTTCTTCCTTCTCTGCTGATGGTAGCATCTTTTTAAAATTTTTATTTATTTTTAATTTTTGGCTGCGCTGGGTCTTCATTGCTGCGTGAGGTCTTTCTCTAGATGCAGCAAGCGGGGGCTACTCTTTGTTGCGGTGTGCAGGCTTCTCATTGCGGTGGCTTCTCTTGTGGAGCATAGGCTCTAGGCACATGGGCTTCAGTAGTTGCAGCACACAGGCTTCAGTAGTTGCAGCACGTGGGCTCAGTAGTTGTGGCACAGGGGCTTAGTTGCTCCATGGCATGTGGGATCTTCCCGAACAAGGGATTGAACCTGTGTCTCCTGCACTGGCAGGCAGATTCTTAACCACTGCACCACCAGGGAAGTCTGGTAGCATCCTGATATTATTCTGCCCTAACATTTATCATTCTGTCATAATTGTCTGTTTACTTTTCTGCCATCTCTACCAAACAAGGAACTTCTTAGAGGTGGGAACTAATTTTATCTCTACAAAGTTGTCAGGTTCTTAAAGTTTCATTTCACTTATTTCCTGTCTTCTGAGTTCCAGATATGGGCATTTTAACTCCAGGTTTTCAAATTTGCTGCTCCCTCTGCTGGGAAACTCTACCTCTCCCTCTTTACCTGATTAACTTCTATACATGCCCTTCAATTTTCAGCTAAGGTATCACTTCCTCTGAGGAGTCTTCCCTGCCCCACCACCCAGACTTGGTTTGATGTCCCTGCTAATATGCTTCCACATGTACACATCCTTTATTTTAAACGCTTATTTCCTTGGGTATTAAATGGGATGATGTATGTTAGTGCCTGGCACATAGAGAAAACCTTCAATAGGTGGCAAGAGATATTATCTTATCCCCAAATCTTCCACATACATTAGAGAATACCTTTGTCTTTCCCTTTCATGTGATCCCTTTCCTGGGTGTCTAGATTTTGATTTGTCTTGTTTCCTCCCCACAACTTCCCAAAGAAAATTATCTTACTCATTATTTCTTGAAATAATTGACTTCTGTCTGTTCCCCTGAAATGCACATATTTCCACCTAGCCCATTCTTAACAGATGGCACAGTGGCCCACAGTAGTAGCAAAAAGGACAGATCAGAAATTCTAAAACCTTAGCTATAGAACTAGCTCTTCCACATCTTGGGAGGTCAGTTAACCTCTCTGAACTTCAAATTCCTTATCTATAAAATGAAACTAGTTGTGGACAAAAGGTTAACAAAACACTTTCCCCTCTTACTTGAGAAATGAGCTTTAGTTAAATGCCTACCTGTTGTCCCGATAACCTGATAAGGATAGGAACTATCTTTGCAGGCAACATTGCTTATGATAAAAATGAACGCTGACTGATAAATTACATCTGGACTGGGAAGAACTGTAAGTGAAATATACACGCCTGAAGGAGGCACCATCCTTTGGGCTCCCATGAATGCTGTAACTTGTCAAAGCATGCCCTTTGAGGACCTTGGAATTATATCTATGGAGTTGTTCTATAAAAGAGATAATAACTCTGGTGGAACATAAGACACATACCTGGGGATCGATTCCATGCTCCTGAACTGTCCCCAGAAGGCTCCATGGAATGCTAGACAAACCACCTCAAGAACTCTTGCCAAAAGGAACGCCTGATGCTGTCCTGTTGGCAAACTATGCTTCCATCCTATTTCCTTCCAAAGATTAGTGCCATGCGTGGCCTATGATAGTCTTGTGAGACTGTGTAGTTAAACCTGAAAGGACTCCTGCAATACACATATTTCAGGTGAGCTCTGCAGTCATACCTGCCTTGCCTACTTCAATGAGGGTTAGAAGACTGAATGAGATAATGAATATGAAACACCATATAAGCAGCAAAGCACTACCTAAATATATTTGCTATTATTATTAAAAATACAAAAATATTTAAATAGGTTGATTTTCATCACTAAAACTAATGGTGATGGTCACCATAGCCTAGCTGGAAACATTCTCCTTTGGCTTGAATATAGCTCTGTAGAGGCCAGATGATAAAGGATTGGGAACAGGAATACCCAGCACAAAAGTCAGCCTTAAAATCCTGCCCATTGTAGGGGCTCAGCTAAACTCTAATTATATTAAGAAGCAGTAAGCATGTGCAACTGAGACTGAGGTTGGCCACCATGTGACTACAGGAAAAAGTTCTGTTTCAGAGGAAAGCAAAGGGGCTAGCTAGCACCCTCTTACTGGCTTTCTTTTGATCACAGACAAGGAAACCGTCAAAGCTCCACCTATCCAGGACTTGCCAGAGGTTCTACAGGCCCCCCTAAAGGCTGCTCTTTGTGACAAGAACGCCAGTGTGCGGATGGCAGCAGCAGTATGCCAATATGCCATGCAGTCAGATAATCTTCTTGCCCGGGAAATCATGCAGACTGCCCTTTTGAAAGGTGAGTAACTCCTTGTTACTTTTGACCTGGAAATATGGGGTAAAGAGAGGACACTTCACCATCAGCTTTTCCTAATCCTTTCCTCTCCACCATCATGCTCTATGATGTCTACTGTATTGGGTCTGGGCTTCCATTTAGATACTCAAGAGATTTGTTCTTCCCAGGTACTTTACAAAATAGGTACACTGCCACCTAGTGGTACCTGGGCTAAACGTTTCATAAGTGCATTTGAACAGAAACCATGTCCCCTTTCATAAACCAGATTTTCAATTGAAAAGATAATGTAATATTAAAGAATACGTTCTAAAAATATTTTAAATCACTACTTGAACACATCTTGCTTCCATTTTTGCACATGAACTTACAGGCATTGTCCACAAGCATTGCTGGAGTAATACAAGCAGAAAGGTTCTGTCAGATGATAGGCCCAAGGTGCCCAAATGCTCTGTCTGAAAGATGTACCTGCTCCTTGCGTGGCGGCAGGGGTGGAGGACAACTGGCTGACCAGTTTGGCCTTCGGCACGGAGATACTCAACGATTTAATTCATCTGTCTTAAGAAAGCCTCCACCCCAGACTTCCCAATCTCTAGTGAGAGGGACAACTGTATCTCTCACCCAGGCCGGAAGTGCCTTCCTGCTGTTACCTAACAAAAACATATTAGGATTTGACTTTGCAGGTTAAGATTTTCAGTCTATATTTAGAACCTTGATACAATCCATTTAAATATGATTTAAATAAGGGATTGAATTTCGAGACAGGGGGCAGAGGGAAGTGAAATATCAGGCAGGTAGCAGCCTTGTGTACCAACCCAAAGGCTGCTCTCTCTGTGGGGAGAAGAGATCGCCATTCTGGACTCCTTTTTCACCCCACTGTGGCAGGTAATAGCGTGGACAGCTGGGCTGCAGCTCAGTGCCTGGCTCTGGAAGGTGCTGCCACTTACCCCGTGATTACGAGGATCCTCCATCAGCTGTTTAACAAGAAGAATGAGGACACTGAGCAACAGTCTTGTATGCTCTTGAGCCGTCTAAGTGCGAAGACAGTATGTGTCCATTACGGGGTCAGAGAAAGAAACCAAGTTTGGGGGGAACAATTGGGTCTTTGAGGTCGGTGCATGTAAGGAACTGAAAATGCAGGTGGTTGGATAGGGATCATCTCAAGCACAGGTAAAACTGGACTAAGTGTGGGTGAACCGGCGTGTATACAAGGAAGAGTGACAACAGCTAGCTGAGAAAGGTGAGAAAAGTAGGCTGCAGATGGCTTCTAACTGTGTAGGCAAGGAAAGTTGTGATATGCAGAATTTGCTTCTGCTAGAAGTTTACCACTGAAAACTACACACCTACAATTCTGTTTACTTCCAGTAGAAATGTGAAACTCACAGATGGAGGCATATACAAATCATTTTAGGGGGAAAGATAGTTAAATTAAGAAGAGAAGGTCCTAGGAATTTTCTGTTCAAATTACTAAATCTGTATATTGTTCCCCAGAAATCAGTTGGCTTGGATGGAAGAGTGCCCCATTGTAAACCCACTCTCCTTTGCTAGCAACGGGCATCTCATGTGTTTGTGACATTAACTATGCTGGATGCCAGGTTAGGATATAACTTCTTCAAGGCCCCATCATCTCTTAAAGTGATCTTGGATATCCATACACGTCTTCCATTTCCTCAGACCCTGATACATACCATGCTTGCCGTGGAGCTGAATAGCCATCAATGGAAAGACCGGATTGTAGCCTGCCGAGCTCTCTCCCAGATTGGTGGAAATGTCAATGTGGTAAGCCTTCTCCTCCTGTGTTTCCAGGACAGAAAGTCTAAGCAAAACTGAGCTAGGGAGCTCTTCCACTTTTTGCTGCTATCTAGTATCCCATTCTTGCCACACAGATCTCTGTTCCCATACTGCTACCTCTTACTCCTAACCCAGAATTCTCTTCAAATGCCAGCATATCGTTCTATTACTTAAGACACTGCTTCTCAGCCTGGTGGCAGTCCACAAACTGTTTGTAACCTACCTACAATGAAGTAAGCAAGAAAAAAAAAAGAGAAAAGTTTAGAAACTTTTATAGTAATTTGACATTGCCTCCACATCAAGGTATTTTTATAAGTATCAGTCAATACTGTCCCTACTTTCAAAAACCTGACATTAGAGTTAGAGTAACAAGACTAACATACACAAATGATTCAAGAACAAGTGATAAATGTAATGTACTCAAAACTTTTCAGAGAGAGATTAGTGTGGGCTGAACCCATCAGTTAAAGTTCTGTGAAAGAAGGAGTGTGGGTCAGCTGAGCAAGACTTGGGACAGAACTGAAAAAAAGACTTCCAGGCACGGGAAACCCTGACCATCATTTAGGCTTTCACCTGACCTCCTTCTTGCCATTATTTTAAAATCAACTTCAGCTGTCCAAATGGGATTTTTCCCTTCTTCCTATGTGCCACTATCTTTTCCTTATAACACTAAGTAACTCCAAAATGGCCCAGAACACTGCCATTCCCACGAGAAGAGAGCACCCTCTATCTTGACCCTCACATTTTGATGTGGGAAGCACAAAACCTGGCCATTCAGTGTAATCAGTATAATTCTAGTCTGGGTTAATTCTGCCTTGACTGCCATAGTAGTACCCTGCTGCTAAAGTCTTGGACCAGCAGCATAGGTATCACCCGGGAGTTTGCTGGAAGTGAAAAATCTCACCTCTGGTCAATTCAATCAGAACCTGAATTTAACAACACCATTTTAACAACATTTGATTAATTTGCACATTCACCTCCTCAGCACTTGTTACTCAGGATGGCCAACTGAAAGTAAAAAGCCATGCAGAGCAAGCAGGGGACGGGGTAAAGATGAGAACTTCACATCAGACTGCTGGGGTTAAGCAATATGTCCATCAGTCCTTTCACTCATTCAGTAAGCAAGCAGTTTCTGACCACATCCTACATGCTGGGCAGCATGCTACCACTGGGGATGCAAAGATAACAGAAGTAGCTGTAAAGTATTATGGGGATTTCCTATTGCTTACAGAAGGCAGAGGAGAGTTCACTGAGGAGATGCTTTTTGAGTTCAATCCTAAAAGAACAGGAAAACATCAGGTATCAGATAGGGGTGGAAAAGCGAGATGTTTCAGGCAGGGAGAATAGCTTTGGGCACATTACATAATCACCAACTAGTAATCTTCGTCCCTTTCCCTTTGAGAGATGTACTAACACATAGGGTGGCCAACTGTCCTAGCTTGTCCAGTACTAAACCCAGGAAAAGTCCCAGGCAAATTGGAATGAGTTGGTCACCCTACTAATGTATCACTTTCAAATTTTAAGAGTCTCAAGTACAGATATAATACAGTAGTTTAAAGCGTGAGCTTTGGGCTTCCCTGGTGGCGCAGTGGGTAAGAATCCACCTGCCAATGCAGGGGACATGGGTTCGAGTTCCTGGTCTGGGAATATCGCACATGCTGAGGAGCAACTAAGCCTGTGCACGACAACTACTGAGCCTGCACTCTAGAGCCCATGAGCCACAACTACTGAAGCCCGCATGCAGCTACGAAGACCCAGCACAGCCATAAATAAACAAATAAATAAAATAAATTTATGAATAAATAAAGCATAAGCTTCAAAAACAGGCCTGGGTCTGAGTCCTGGCTCCAGCACTCAGCAGGTTAACCTTGGGCAAGAAATCTAAGCCTCCATTCTGTCGCCTATAAATGGTAATATCTGCCTTATGGGATTGTTTGGGAGGATTACGTGACGGGTAGAAATACTTATTAGCACAGTGCCAAGTACAAAATTGACTTGGTAATAAATGGTAGCTAATTATTACACCTCTGTGTAGGATGTGAAACATAAGTTGATCCAGCTGATGTTGGGTGACTGGAATAAGAAAGTGAGACAAGCAGCTGCCCAAGCTCTGGGGCAAATGAACCTTGGGAAAGAGGTGCATGACACAATCAGGTAAGACCTTGTCAACATGGAGAAAGAAGCTTTTTTATTCTTAAAAGTGTCCAGGGAGCCTGGGCTCCAGCCAGCCAGCATTTGTTAAGCTGCTCTGTCTGCTCAGCATTGTATAGATCCCATTGCAGAATTTTTTTGTTTTTAATAAAATAAAACATTAACAGCCCCTACAGACACTAACAATGTAGCTAAGGGAAGAATCATTAATTGAATGCCCGCTAGGTGTTAGGCACTGTTTTAGATGTTTGAGAGTTCAAATGTATGCCATGATTCTGATTATACAGGCAAGATACACAAATGCCTAGCAAAGTCAAGTTTCATGAAGGATGGGTAAGACTACGTAGGCAGAGAGAAGGTAAGACCTTCCACACTGGGAGCCAAATACAGCAATGAACATGGCACATGTGAGGGCAGTGGGGAAGAGAACTTGACTGTAGCAAGAGATCCATGTTTAAAGTTTCCTTTATTCAGTCATTCAACATAGTTTAGCGCCTAGCATACTCTAGGTAATAGGGATTCAAGTAAATAAAACAGTTGAGGTCTCTCTACCTGGTGAAACTTAAATTAATGTGCATAAGGCTAAGTAGCAAAGGGTGGGAATGGATAATGGAGAGCCTACAGAAGTTGGATTTTATCCTGAGGGCACTGGGGGTGGGCATAGGGCGAGGGACCAAAAGTTTAAGGAGGGAAAATAAAAGCACCTGTGCCTTACAGAGTCAAGCTGGGTCAAGGAAACTCCCAGGAGCGTGTGGAAGCCCTCTCCCTGATTCGTGGGCTCAAGCTCATGACCGCCAAGCTTCTCCCAAGCTTTCTGAACTGCTTCTCTGATGACTTCACGGCAGTTCGGCAGGCAGCTTGTTTGGCTGCTGGTGCCCTGCAGATCCACGATAATATGGTGAGTCAAGGAGACATGTACCCATCTTACCTGATCAACCCAAGAGGGCATTACCCTGTGCTTCATTCGTACATAGCATACTCACCATTCTGTGGGGACACAGAATGAGAGATCAGAACCAGGAAGGTGAGGAGATATATAGGCCACACCAACAGTTTGGACCACACTTAGCTCCAAGCCAGCCTAGACTTCACTTTAGAGCACACCCCTGAATCCTGTTCTCACCTCAGTTAACTAGCTTCTCATTACATGGGTGCTGATAGGCTTAGGGATCGACTCCAGTGAATCGAGTTATAATCCCTAGTTATTAGTGGAAAACCTGATGGAGGTATTCAAAAGAAGCCTATATGGCCATAGATCTGTGAGCTGGGAAAATCAATCTACAGACAGGAGATAAGAGCACTCTGCGCCTAAGCCAGTACTTCTGGCTCCAGCTCATTTTTTCACTAGATTTGATAGAGGGCCACTTTTCCAGTTAAAGCACATTTAGACAAGAGGGGTCCCTGTCTCTGGTTCATTCTTGCTCTGATTCTCTCCACTCAGCACTGCCTTTTATCCATCCCAGGTCCTTGAATGCCTTCTGAATCTCACACAGAGAGATCCCTGCTGGAAAATCAAGGCCTTTGCCATTCGAGGTATTACAGGAGTGGCCCCAGCTCCTCAACCTTCCCGTATTTTAGTATAGATGATCCCCAGAACCTCTTTCGGAAGAGAGTAGAGTGTAAGGGAGGGGATAATCACAGCTTCTCAGAAGTTCCTTGCCTGAGAAATTAAAGATTATTTTCTTGTTCTTTTTAATTTTTAGTTAAGGCGTCTAGGTCTATGTCAAACGCTTTAAGGCAAAGGGCTGAAAGGACAATCCCTGCCAACAGAGTTAGGTATGAGTTCCAAGTAGGTATCCACTGTTGGATATACTTGCTTTCTCTGGAGGTTTCAACCATAGGACTCTGTAAAAGTCAGACCAGATTCAAGACTGCTACAAACCTAAAATCCTGCCCTCAAATTTCCTAGAGTTTCTTTTTAGGGATTTTTGGCATTGTTTCTCTCTGACAGTCTGGCAGGTCCCTTTAAGAATCTGCCCTGGGTTAAGCTGTGAAGTAATTGTGCCTTCTTTCCCCATTACCCTGCCTTGACTAGGTTGGTCTTCTGAGTTATCTATCCCATATCTCATTCCTAGATAAATAGGTAAATTAGTATATTCTCACATCCTAATGGACAAGGATGGCGTGGAATACCCCCCCCCCTTTCTGGGAATTCTCTGGGGATAATGTCCTATTCTAACCCATTCCTAAAATTCTAATGGTAATTGTCATCTAAAAGGGAAGGTAAAGACAAAATACTTAGTTTAGTATTTGCAATATTTAATTGCAAATTAAATAATTGCAAGTGCTTGCCTACACCTTATTATTGTTATTTATTAATAAGGCCATTTCTGGATGCTAGGATATAGCAAGCTCAATCTTAAGTGACAGTGGAACACGCTGCCCTCTAATCTCTGCAGCTTTGGGACAAATTGGCCACGTGAATCCCCAACTGATAGACTCCCTGCTCTGGGCTATACACTATGAAGAATCACCAGGTGTACGACTAGAGGCTTGCCGTAGCATCCTAGCCCTCAAACTTCAAGGAGACCGAGTCAGGGACACCTTCCTAGACATGCTGCTCCTAGAGAACCATGATGCTGTTCTAAAGTAAGCACTAACCCTCTGGTTCCTGCCGTGACCTCTTTTACTGCCAACTCTCCCAACCTTGTTAACAGAGTATGTGCCTGCCTTTCCAGGCTGCTTAATGGCTGTAAAAAGCACAGGCTCACCTGGGCCATTCATCTACTTAGCAAGTGGGTAACAGAAAAACTGGCCTGAATTAGATTAAAAGTCAAGCTCATGTAGTTTACATACTTGTTCATCATCCCAGGTGGGTTTTTTTATTCAACTAACATTTATCAAGTGCCTACTTAGTGACGATAGGCTTTAGCGTCAAAAAGACCAGGATTTGAACCCCAGCTCAGACATGTGCTAGCTCTGTGAGTCTGGGTAAGTTACTTAAATTCTCTGAGCCCATTTTTTCATGTATCAAACGCAGACGGCACTCTGCCTTATGGGTCTGTGGTGATGAGTAATGAGATAACATGTTAGTACCTGTCATAAAGGTGTTCAATAAATAATATCTACTAGTACCTTCAAGTATATCATTTCAAAAACTACAGAACACCCCTACAAGCTAAGCATCATACAATTTTTGCAAATAAAGCTCAGCAAAACTGCAGTTAGGATTGGAACTTAGGATTCTTGTCTGATTCCAAGTCCTGTATTTTCCACCTCCATGCTTTAAGGATAGGAAGAACAGCCTAAGAAGTCCTTCTTACCTTTCAGAGAAATTCACCATGCAATGAAGATACTCAACTTAGAAAATGAAGGAAACCAAGAAATGCTTCAGAAGATCAAGAACAGGGTAGATAAGTACAAGCTATGTTTTCAAGAAAAAATTCAGGGCTCTCAAGGGTTCCTCAGACCCCTTTTTCCCCCTAAGCATGTACGTACCCTCTTCCCCAACACAGAAATACTTTCTACAGCCCCAGATACAATATCTCACTTGAAGATACAAAATACATCTGTGCAAGATAGGATTATAAAATCCTACTAGTAAAAAGTAAAACAAAGCAAAAATCCCCTTAGGCCTGTCAAGTAGCCCTCAAAATCAGCTGTTTCTGAAATATTGTTTCCTTTCCTTCCCTTTTTTCCCCCACCATCCTCTAAACTCAAGTTCTTTCTTTTTTGCAGATAGGCATAAAGAAGGAATGAGGGACTGGAATAGGCCCCCTAGATTTTTTTTTTAATTAATTAATTTTTGGGGGCTGTGTTAGTTCTTCGTTGCTGCGCAAGGCTTTCTCTAGTTGCTGCAAGTGGGGGCTACTCTTCGTTGCGGCGCACGGGCTTCTCACTGCGGTGGCTTCTCTTGTTGAGGAGCATGGGCTCTAGGCACACGGGCTTCCGTAGTTGTGGCTCGCCGGCTCTAGAGCACAGGCTCAGTAGTTGTGGCGCACGGGCTTAGTTGCTCCGTGGCATGTGGGATCTTCCCGGACCAGGTCTCAAACCCATGTCCCCTGCATTGGCAGGTGGATTCTTAACCACTGCGCCACCAGGGAGGTCCCTAGATTTTCTTTTTCCTTCTAAACTTTCCTTAATTCCTAATCTGGGCTCTTTCACCAAAGGAACTCTAGCTGAACAGGTGGTTCTAATTTTTCAAAGCTGTTAGAGGAGATGAAAAATCGAGGGAAAAGGACTTTAAAAAGGCAAAAGAGGGCTTCCCTGGTGGCGCAGTAGTTGGGGGTCCGCCTGCCGATGCAGGGGACACGGGTTCGTGCCCCGGTCTGGGGGGGTCCCACATGCCGCGGAGCGGCTGCGCCCGTGTGGCCGCTGAGCCTGCACGTCCGGAGCCTGTTGCTCTGCAGCGGGAGGGGCCACGGTGGTGAGAGGCCCGCGTACCGCAAAAAAAAAAAAAAAAAAAAAAGGCAAAAGATTCTTCATATGATTCACAAAACCAATTTCACATCAAGCAAGCATTTCTTAGCAGATTCCTTTCATCATGTCCAAAAAGCTAAAGTAAATTTTTCAATAACAGATGTGAAAAATGTCCAACCAATATCACCAGAGAACAATGTTCTCAGGCATTTACATACCACCTAATACTAATAAGCATGATGCAATGCTACTTTATTAACGCTTTTTGATGATTTACAGCCTAGTATAGTTGTTTTTTTCAACATTTGTTCTGATTCAGATTCAAACACTAAGCCAAAAGGAACTGTTGATACAGAAAATATTCAAGATTGAGACAGTCATAGGAAAAGTGAAGGAGGAAGCAAAACGTGTTTACATGCAACCCAAACAAGGGCAAAAACCACTGAAATTCCATACTTTTCTCCAAGAAACTTTTCAGGGTAAGTTTTCTAGGGGTGAGTCCTATGCCTTGACTCCTTTAACAAGCCTTTTTCATGACTGGATGTTTGGGGACTTAGTTGTGAGCCCTGTAGGATGAGAGCCAGGAAAGGACACTTTCTTTTCTTCTTGGCCACCATCCTCTCAGTCCTTCTGTTATCGTTTCCTTGTCCCCCTCCCCCAGGCTCTGATTTGCTATCTGCCCCTTAAAAAAAGAATGATGTAATTCTATCTGAACCAATTTGAAAGTTAGGTCAAAAAATGGACGCCTTAGAAAAACAAAACAAAAAACTGCCGTGTGTACGTCTGGTTAAGCACTCAGAAAAATCCTTGAAGCTTAACCTTGAATAGTAATATTACCTCTGGAAAGTGAGATTATACGTACATCTACGCTTTTGCAACTTTAAAAAAAAAACGATTTCATAAAGTTCTCAGCTTTACATAACTCAACCTATCAGTTACGGTGAAAGGATCTTAAAAGTTCCAGATACAACCTAAATGATGAGGTGTAGACATCAAGCTGTACCAAAACATACTTACAAAATCAGTGTGCCCAGGCGCAGCAGCAGCCTCAGGTCATTCAGCCAGCTGCCCACCAGCCACCACCCCAAACCCAGGTCTTCTGCTTCCAAGTCCAGTGCTCTCTCTGGTACACCAGGCTCTTTTCCACCAACCATGAGAATATTCACTTGCCAGATTTGGGGAAGTTTCTTCCAACTGCCAGAAAAAAATGAGAGTGGAAAGTAACTTGAACACCAGCCTTCCCTCATGGCCAGCTTGCTACAAGTTGGCTGACTGAGGCCTATGACAGCACAACTAGGTGACATTCTGTCTCTTTGGGAGCAGTGCCAGCCACTGATGCAAGCAAGCACTGAGCAAAACCCTAATACACTTTTAAAAACATAATATACTCAAAACTTTTCTAATAGGATTGTGCTGTTTGGGGTTCGAGTAACATGATTAAAATGAATCAATTACCCCCAAAGTTGCAGAATTGGCCCCAATCCTACAACCGTCCCAAGTTACCTTTCACCTCAGCTGTTGATTTTCCCTATCGACCTCCCTCCTCCCACGTTTCTTCAGACCATGCCACATAAGAATCTAGCCCTAGAAAAAGGAAAACATTCTCTGGCATTTTAATAACTTTTCTAACTTTCACACAGACTCACAGTAACAAACAGGATACTGACCCCAACCCTCCCCCCAAACTGATGAAAGAGAACTCAAATGAAGGATGCAAATTCCAAATAAAAACTTCTAATGTCTCAAGCAGAGTAACACAGCAAATGCCACACAGTACACGGAAGCCTGAGGGTGATGATGAAGTTGGTACTCTCAAACGATCAGGAATCAGGGTTACTTCAGAACAAGCTCCTTCTTCCACCTCCAACTTCTGCTTTTACTTTTGTGCCTAGATGAGGTGGTGTTTCCTAGAAGACCGTCTGAGTTGTGTGACATTGAAGCAGTCATAAAGGTAAATGTAAGCACAGTCATGGTTATTAAGGTAAGAACGAATTTTCCCCCCAAAAAAAGTGGTGGTGGTAGGAGAGAATCACTACTGTCTTGTTTCTGGCAATCAAGGAGTAACTAGTTCAGGTTAGAGGCATCTTGGTGAGCAGCAGCCCCTTGTCATATAACATGGTCGCCAGGGAAAGCTGGTCCTCCACACTGTCGCACGGCAAGTCCGCTACCCTCACAAACTCTGGGTAGGAGCGGAGCAGGAGTTCCATGGCATCAGCTTGCTGGGGGTATATCTCCAAGCACTTGGGCTCTTCCAGATGATAAACTCGGGAGTTTTCCACTGTATAATAGAGAAACAAATGGCCTCCCTCACCCACCAGCCGAGCTATACCATCCTGAAGCATGTGCACTTCTGTTTCTGTTGTCAATTGGGCCCCCACGTTTACGGGTTCCCCAGCCTCCCACCGAATTGGGAGCCCATAAACGCTTAGTGCCCTCTCCCTCTCAGTCAACACTGGGGGCAGAGAATCGTGGATGAAGTCTTTGGCTCTCTGGTCAGCCACAGCATCGACAGGGGCAAAGTGTCCCAAGCGGGCAACCAAGACCCGCACTTTCTCCATGAAAGCAGTTCTTCGCGGATCCTTAGACTCCGAATGCTGGGCCCCCATGTAATCCATAAAGTCTCGGGGCAGTCCCCTACGAAACTCCACATTTTCCTCCATTGCAGCCTGCACTGCCAGAGGCAGTACGGCCTCCAGGAAGTCGCCCCAGGTATTGCGCTGGTATGTGGACAAGGTCAGGTGCAGAGAGTGCACTCCATCCTGGCATTCGGCTTGGTGAATGAAGCCTCTGGGAAAATAGAGCAAATCTCCAGGTTCCAGCACCGTCTGCAGCACCGGCTCTCCTAGGTCGTCCTGACTGAAGTTGGGGCTGGATGTCAGGGCTAGTTCCTCGGTCGGAACCCGCGGTCGGTAGACCCGCCAGAGTTTCCTACCTTCCAGCTGCAGCACAAAAGCCTCGATATCGTCGTAGTGGGGGGCAAAGCCCTGCGAGTTGGGGGGCGTGAGGTAAACGTTGGAGCCTGCCATGCTTCCAAACTGCTCCTGGAGCACAGCCAAAAACTGCCACACGGTGGTGGAGAAAGCCTGCGGACAGAGGAGGCGCAGGGAGCAGCCGGCCCTGTACAGGGACCACGCGGCGGCGGGCAGGGCGCGGCCGGGTGGGTTCAGGGTCTCGCGCCGCCCACTGATGTAGCGCGCGGCGTCCAGGTGCTGCCCAAACTGCACCTCCTCGTCGCGCAGCATTGAGTCCAGATCGGCGGTAGAGAAAAGACCCTGGTAGTAGGTGTGGTCCTGCCGCCGCACCAGCACAGCCTCGCGCTCCCATAGGCGCCGGTAGAAATGGTCGGGCGGCATGGGCGCGATGAGCCACTCGAAGAGGCGCGCCGCCCGCCGCCGGCTGCTGGGGATGCGGTTCAGCTCAGCCAAGACGCGCTGCAGCGGGGAGTCCCAGGGCAGCTCCCCACCCGCGCTTTCCCCCTGCGGCCCCGACAGCGTCGCTGGAGCCACGGACGGCGGGGCGGCCGCCAAGTGCTGGGCAGAGCACAGCACGGCCGAGGGCTCCACCAAGCGCGGCGGGGGGCCCGAGGCCTGCACCAGGCGTGCCGGCAGGGCGGATGCCTCCACCAGGCGCGCCGGCGGGGTCTGCGCCTCCACCAAGCGCGCCGATGGGGTCTGCGCCTCCACCAGGGCGCGGGGAGTCTGCAGGGATCGGGACGCGGGCGAGGCCTCTAACAGCTCCGCGGGCCCGAGGTGGCCGTACGGCTCCCGCCGGGTCACATCCGAGAGGGCCGCCGCCCCTCCAGCCAGCGGGTCCCTGCGATCGTCGACCATCGACTCCACCCTCGAGTCCTCCGAGTCCTCGCTCGGCAGCGCCTGGGCCCTCAGTGCGGCCATCCGGGAGGCGACACTTCTCCTCAGCTGCCTTCGGATCTTCCTGGGCCTCAGGGGCAGGGCCAGGACCGACCCGCTATGTGGCTGTGGCTGGCGCCGGCGCCTCAACCGCCCGCGCCTCGGCAGCCCAGCGCTAGCCCGGAGCCCGTCCATGGTCCTACCCTCTCCCGAGCCCAGCGGGAGATGGCGAGAAACCGGCTCAGGCAGTCGGCTTCCGCAGTGTACTCTGGGAAAGGGGTGGGCCTCCAGCCGCCTCTGGGTTGTCCCCGCCCACCATTCTTCCGCCGGCGCCTCCGGCTGGCCCCTTTAGAAAATGTTAATTCAATGCATGGCTTCCCGCTAGAGCGGCGGAGTCCCTGCCAAATTAACACGAATTCCATATTTAGGGGGCAGTTTACAAATCAAGTTGCCAAGGACTCCAGGAGAAAGAAAGTTAGCTACTGAACTTTTTCCTTCTAGTGTCTGCAAATTGCAGTGTTCCTCGGGAGGTCCCCGTTTCTGAAAAACACGTTCCCCAGCAGCTTTGCATGAGAAAGCGCACAATTCTTGGTTTCAAGGAATGCCCTCAGGCAAAGTTCTAGGTTCAAATTTCGATCCACCTGGGTCTCTTTACAGACTGATTGAAGCCCTAAATTCCTCCGCCTAACTTCCCTTCCTCCCCTCTCCATTACAAATTTTCAGTCATTGCTCTCTCTCTGAAAATGAAGCTACAGACTTTTCTACTTTTATTCTTTTTTTATTTTATTTTTTTAATTTAACAAATGTTTACTGACTAGTAAGTGACAGACATTGCGATGGCATCGGAGTAACAATCATAGACAAGACAACGAAACAGACTATCACCTGCCTTCATGGGACACGTTTCAGAGGACACGATCAACCTGCAAGGAAATGCACACTTTCCTTTTTCTTCCCTTCATCTTTGCTAGTTTAATCCAGCTCAAACTTGAAGTTCATCTCCAAGGCTACTTCTTAATTAAACTGGAAAGGAATATTTTCTGACTTAATAATTCCATATTCAGTGAACATATGCTGACTCTACCTGCCCAGCATCCATCCCGGCCATCCACCCCCGCCCCCGCGACGAAAGACACTGAATTTCCTTTGAAGAACTTCCTCATCCTGTGCTGGGACTTCACTTGGTCTCCAGAAGTGCTGCAGAACACAGTGAATGCTCCCAGACTGTGGAAGGCCTGGCCACAATGATTGGCTTGTGCTTAACCAAGTGACCCAAGTTTCTCCAGTCAAAGTGACTCAGAGGAGCGTCACTATATATACAGGCTGCCTACGATTCTTTTTAGAGTCCACGTCTAGTGTTATCCTACTTCAGAAGGTCTTGAGAGGTGACCATATGCCAGGCGCTCTTCTAGACACCGGAGATGCAGAGGTGAGCGATATCCTCACTGTTTTTGGTGGCAGTTGAGCGTCCATCCAAAAAATTTCCTGTGTCCCCGAGCTGCTGCGGGAGACCAACTCTGAGTCCCACGTGTTCTCTCCAAGCTGCCCATGCTGTTTAGGAAGAGCTGCGCGCAGCGTCTTGGTCCAGGGGAACTTTGGTCCCTCGTCAATCCAGTTCACTCGGGCGGCAGGGGTGGGGAGGGGGCCGACCTGCGCCTCCTCAGGGGAATCGGGGCCATTCTTTTTTTTTTTTTTTTTTTTTGCGGTAAGAGGGCCTCTCACTGTTGTGGCCCTTTCCGTTGCGGAGCACAGGCTCCGGACGCGCAGGCTCAGCGGCCATGGCTCACGGGCCCAGCCACTCCGCGGAATGTGGGATCCTCCTGGACAGGGGCACGAACCCGTGTCCCCTGCAACAGCAGGCGGACTCTCAACCACTGCGCCACCAGGTAAGCCCCCGGGGCCATTCTGTATTCTTGATAACTGCCCTTCACACCCACTCTGGGATTTTGTTTTATTAGCTACAACTTCTCTCTCCAGAATCTTCAAACTCACCTCCTCTGAACCTTAAATCGACTTCTTAAATCTGGGCCTCTCATTAACAGGCACTGTGGTAGGCATGAGGGTGCAATTGTTGAGAACATGGTCACTGTCCCCATGTAACTATTGTTGCTTTATACATAAAGATTACTTGTCTTCATTTGAAACATTTATGATAGATTACCAGGAATGGAATTGATGGGTCAATTTAATTTCTGTGATTATTATAGGGCAAGATAATTTTTGTGATTATTATAGGTTTTACCAAACTTCCTCCCAAAGAGTTTACAACCTTGCAAGCAATTATGAGCAGGTTAGACTACATGGCCTCTAGGGCCTTTTCTGTGTTTCTGTTTGATCTCTCAATCTTCTTCCTCACATTCCTATCCAAACCCTTGAGAAAGCATTTCGATTTTACCCCTACCCAGGTGTCACATCTACACTTTTAATTTCTCACATGGTCTATTACAGTGGTCCTCAAGTGGGGGCAATTTTGCCTTCCCAGGGAACACTCAAATATCGTATATTAACACATATATGTGGAATCTGAAAAAATTGGTATAGACGATCTTGTTTACAAAGCAGAAATAGAGACACAGGCATAGAGAACAAACCTATGGATACCAAGGGGGCAATGGGGGGGGGTTGGGATGAACTGGGAGATTGGGATTGACATATATACACTATTGATACTATGTATAAATTAGGTAACTAATGAGAACCTACTGTATAGCACAGGGAACTCTACTCAATGCTCTGTGGTGACCTAAAGTGGAAGGAAATCCAAAAAAGAGGGGATATATGTATACATATAGGTGATTCACTTTGCTGTGCAGTAAAAACTAACACAACACTGTAAAGCAACTATACTCTAATAATGATTAAGAGAAAAAAAAAAAGAAATTGCAAACTCTACAGGCAGCTCAACATGTGGGTTTATACTGGGCCTTGATGAGAAACAATGTTGCTGGTTTCCCCTGCCATATTCTCTGGAACTCAGAACAAGAGACTTGATCAAGAATAGGAGAGAAACTTCAGTTCAAGAAAGAAGCCTTTTGACCTCATCAAACGTATAAGCTTTTGCACAGCAAAGGAGACCATAAACAAAACAAAAAGACAACCTACGTAATGAGAGAAAATATTTGTAATGTGACCAACAAGGGCTTAATTTCCAAAATATACAAACAGCTCATACAGCTAAATATTAGAAAAACAAAAAACCCAATCAAAAAATGGGCAGAGGGACTTCCTTAGTCATCCAGTGGGTAAGACTCAGCACTCCAATGCAGGGGGCCTGTGTTCGATCTCTGGTCGGGGAACTAGATCCCACATGCATGCCACAACTAAGAAGTCCACATGCTGCAACTAAAAGATCCTACATGCTGCAACGAAGATCCCGTGTGCTGCAGCTAAGACCCAGCGCAGCCAAAATAAATAAATAAAAATAAATAAATCTTTAAAAAAAAATGGGCAGAATACCTAAATAGATATTTCTCCAAAGAAGACATACAGATGGCCAAAAGGCACATGAACAGGTGTTCAACATCACTAATTATTAGAGAAATGCAAATCAAAACTGCAATGAGGTATCACCTCACACCAGTCAGAATGGCCATCATCAAAAAGTCTACGAATAATAAATGCTGGAGAGGGTGTGGAGAAAAGGGAACCCTCCTACACTGTAGGAGGGACTATAAGTTGGTGCAGCCACTATGGAGAACAGTATGGAGGGTCCTTAAAAAACTAAAAATAGAGCTACCATATGATCCAGGAATCCCACTCCTGGGCATATATCCAGAAAAGACAAAAACTCTATTTCGAAAAGACACATTCACCCCAATGTTCATAGCAGCACTATTTACAATAGCCAAGACATGGAAGCAACCTAAGTGTCCAAAAACGAATGGATAAAGAATATGTGGTGTATATATATATATATACCATAAAAAAGAATGAAATTATGCCATTTGGAGCAACATGGATGGACCTAGAGATTATCATACTAAGTGAAGTAAGTCAGACAAAGATCATATATCACTTTTATGTGGAATCTAAAAAAAATGATACAAAGGAACTTATTTACAAAACAGAAATAGACTCACAGACATAGAAAACAAACATGGTTACCAAAGGGGAAAGGGGAGAAGAGGGATAAATTAGGATCTTGAGATTAAGATTAAGATTAATATGCAGGGGCTTCCCTGGTGGCATAGTGGTTGGGGGTCTGCCTGCCGGTGCGGGGGACGTGGGTTCATGCCCCGATCTGGGAGGATCCCACATGCCGTGGAGCGGCTAGGCCCGTGAGCCATGGCCGCTGAGCCTGGGCGTCTGGAGCCTGTGCTCCGCAACGGGAGAGGCTACAACGGTGAGAGGCCTGCATACTGCAAAAAAAAAAGATTAATATACACATTACTGTATATAAAATAGATAAACACCAAAGTCCTACTGTTTAGCACAGGGAATTATATTCAATACCTGTGATAACCTATAATGGAAAAGAATCTGAAAAAGAATATGTATATATCAGAATCACTTTGCTGTACGCCAGAAACTAGCACAACCTTTTAAATCAACTATATTTCAAAAAAAAAAGGAAAGAAAGAAGCCTTTTAATTCTACCTAGTGGGCCTTCTACATTACCTCCCAAATGTTTTTCAAACTGCTTTGGGGAAAGTAATAAATGTTTGTGATTAAAAAAAAAAAATGGGGCTTCCCTGGTGGCGCAGTGCTTGAGAGTCCGCCTGCCGATGCAGGGGACACGGGTTCGTGCCCCAGTCCGGGAAGATCCCACATGCCGCAGAGCGGCTGGGCCCATGAGCCATGGCCGCTGAGCCTGCGCGTCCAGAGCCTGTGCTCTGCAACGGGAGAGGCCACAACAGTGAGAGGCCCGCGTACGGAGGAAAAAAAAAAAAAAAAAGGTCCACATCAAAAAAATCTTAAATAAAAATAAGTACCCTTATTAAAGCCCATTTCACATTCCATCTCCTCCCCAAAGGCTCTCCCATCTCCCTAGTCACAGGAGAACTTTGGCCCTTTCACATTGCTTTAGCACATTGTGCATGTATTGGTGTATTATATATCAGATTCCTTCTTAAACTTCCTAAACTGTAAACTCCTTCGAGCAAAGGACTTCCTTATGCCTCTTTCTCTTGCTTTTAGCACACTGCTCTTCACAGAGAAGATGCACAGGAAATGTTTGTGGGAAGCAGACCAACCAGAATTGAGTCCCTGCTACTCATTATCTGTGGCATTAGCTCAGTCAAGTTACTCTCTCAGATCTCGGTAATCTCATCTGTAAAGTAGGAGTAGTCATTGAACATACTTCTTTATAGATGTATGGAGAAAATAATGTTTTATTGTGAGCATAAAATAATGCATGCAAGGCACTTAGCACAGGATCTGGTACAGATCTAAACACTTAAAAAATTGTAGCTATAATTTATTATTATGGAGCAAGGAGCTGTATGATGGCTTTTGTGCCTCTGGCCTAGTTCAGAGAAACTAGGAGTGGGGGAGTCAGAGAAGTTCTTGAATTGGCCAGGATGACAGCATGGGATGGGAAGATTAAGACTATTTTTGCCTGTGCCCTGTGGAAGTTTAAATGGGTGAGTGGGACCGTTTCAGACAAGGCCATCGTGTGAGGTATCGCTCTGCACAAAGTTACCTGGCCAAGGGCCAGAGTAGGGTCTGAAACCAACCGATGTTATCCTCGAAAGTCCTGTGCCCTACTCTAGGGCTGCAGTGTCTGGAGGAAGGGCCAGCAGAGGGGGAGCCCTCTTCCTAATTGACATACAGGCTGTGTGTGCTGGCCAGACCCTGATATCAGATTCCCCAGGGAAATATTGCAGAGGGCAGGTCAAGGATGGCACTGGGAGGTTTCATTGCTTTTTCAAAGGGAGCGGTTTTCAATAGACAGTGGACACATCCTGTAGTGAACTGGGGGGATGAGCTATGCTTCTCTGCTGGCAAAGCTGGGAAACACTGGGCTTAGCTAGACGAGAGCTGTAAATTTGTCTTTTCCACATCCTGTACAATATCTCCTCCTCTTAGTCTTTCCTGTGACCTCATCCTTTTTTTTCTTCAACATTTTGTGATTTCCTCAAGTAAAGAATGTTGTTGCTATCTGTCTTCTAGTTTCCCTTGTGACTGGGAGACACCTTTTGGAGACTGACTTACTTTTAATTTCATCATTTTCCTGTGGCTCTACTTAGTTCAACAAAAGCAGCTATTAATAACCATTTTCAGAAATATATTTACTGGGACTTCCCTGGCGGTGCAGTGGTTAAGAATCCGCCTGCCAATGCAGGGGACACAGGTTCGATCCCTTATCCAGGAAGATCCCACATGCCACAGGGCAACTAAGCCCGAGCGCCACAACTACTGAGCCAGCGCTCTAGAGCCCGCAAGCCACAACTACTGAGCCTGCGCACCTAGAGCCCGTGCTCCACAACAAGAGAAGCCACCGCAAGGAGAAGCCTGCGCACCGCATCGAAGAGTAGCCCCTGCTCCTCACTGCAACTAGAGAAAGCCCGTGCACAGCAACGAAGACCCAACACAGCCAAAAAAAAGAAAGAAAAAGAAAAAGAAATATATTTACTGACATGGAATAATGTTCTCAATATATCATTGAATAAGAAAAAAAGCAGACAAAATAAGTATTATGGTAGGAT